TAATTTGGATAGGGTGAGGTCACAACAGAAGGAAAGTGTTTTACACTGGAGTAGATAGGAAAAAATCTTTGATAACTTATCAAGATAGAGAAGAAGTGGGATTAATAACTTGTTTCCAAATTCTTTTAGATTTTTCCTATTGCATTTTTCAATAAAATATGGTTTAAACTAAGATAAAGTTAAATTGCTTAGCCGAAAAATTGAAAGGTTGTATGTATGCACGTAATTTGCAACGAAGGGAAGGTGCGTAATGCACCATGTTTGCTCATCACAACCGAAAAAAAAAAAACAAATTTGTTATTTTTAGGATTAAATCAATCCTCAACACTAAAAACGGATGAAATTTAATTACATGCATTTTCCTCTTTTTAAAAAAAATTATTTTGTATTTGAATCTGATAAAGTCGTTCTCTATATGCAGGCTAGCAAGGAATTGATTTATCATAGTGAAATGCATTAAACATGTTAAAATGAATTTATACAAACACCCGGCATATCGGACCTTTATGACACTCTAAACAGATAATAATATACTACATGTATTACGAAAGACAAGTCTCAAGTACAATTTTTTCCTATATAACAAAATTAAGCTGTCTGTGACTAAGCTGAATGCAAGTATTTTACATTTTTTTCGATGAAAAATTGATAAAAAAAAGAAAAGAAAAAAGAAAAAGAAAAGAAAAGAAGAAAGAACAAATGTTTGAGAGTTCGGACTTTGTACTGAATTGCGATTGATATAAAAAGAACATTGCCAGTAACACCCCCCCCCCCCCCTCCTCAGTACTGGGGTGTTTTTTTTTTCTTCTTTTTTTTTTTTACCGATTTCGAATGAAGTGATAAAATTCAAGTGTTATATTTGAAATCTTAATAATGAACTTGAACATCCTAACATTACTTGAACTAATTTATTATCAATCGCAGTGTTGTCGCTGCATATTAATTCTAATGCACAAAGAATGTTTATATCAATATACCGTTCATACTGACTTCGTGGACAGAATATGAATTTCATAATACTAGAGTAGATAAGCTGCTGTCCTTTCTAACACGTTTCCGCAATGAGTGAAATGCTGAATAAAATTACAGTATGCATCTATGTGACCTTTTAGATCTTGTATATTCCAAATATATTTTTTTTTAAAGATACTTACATGTAAACGCGATTACGTTCAATATATGACGTTTTAGTCAAATAACGCCATAAACGCAACATTTTGGCAATATAAAAGCAAACTTTAAAATTATTTAGCAAAAAAACTACCGAGAAGACATATTGATTTTTTTTACCTCAATAGTTTTAATTTAACCTCATCTTGAAGATATATTGAAATTTCTGAGTAATTCGTCTACGTCGTTAAAAAGTTATCCGACCTTTTCTTAAGAAACTCTTTCGGTAAAATTGTTTTAAAAACGTCATTTTCCTATATATTTCTATTGTAAAGCGTAAAAATAGTACCGAAAACTATACCGCGTTTCCAGTAATATAGCATTAAAACCACGTAGGCAAACTTAATAAAAATTTCAGATAATATGCCGCAAATTCTAAGGAACATTATATCAAATTTTCAGGATATGTTTTCTCGTAAGAATTTTTATGCAGTAAACCCGCGACCTACCTTAAATATATAATAGCTAATGAAAAAAAAATATTGGATTGGGGGAGTAGATATCAACCAGAAGTCTCTAATGAGACTGTAGCTCTACTGGTTTGTACTTATAACAAAGGAAGATAAAAGTAGCACTTGGACTTGAAACTTTGCAACAGCAATAAATAGAATAATGATCCTTGGTTTAGTCTCTTTTTGTGGCAAGATTTATTGCAATCATCAAAACTGTAGTAGGAGTAGCCTTTTAGAAGAATTTTTCAGAAATTTCGATTTTAGTAACTATGGCAACATCATTCAACAAAATAAAAAAAAAATTACGTATCTTAGTGTAGTCTACTTGTGTGCTAAGTAATACTGAAATCAGATCAAAACTGTAGGAGGAGTAACATTTTAAAAGTATTTCAAGGAAATTTCTATTTTTAGTAACCATGGCAATACCCTTCATCAAAATCAAAAACCGATAAAAAGAATTATGTATGTTAGTGTCGTCTACTTGCGTGCCAAGTTATAATGAAATGAGACCAAAACTGTAGGAGGAGTAGGGTTTTGAAAGAATTTCACTGAAATTTCTATTTTTAGTAACCATGAAATTTCTATTTTTAGTAACCATAGCAACACCGTTCATTGAATTCAAAAATTGATACACAGAATTATGTATCTTATAGTGTAGTCTACTTGTGTGCCAAGTAATATTGTAATCAGATCAAAACTGTAGGAGGACTAGCGTTTTGAAAGTTTTTCACATTAATTTCTATTTTTAGTAACCATGGCAACACCGTTCATTGAAATAAAAACCGATACGCAGGATTATGTTTCTTAGTGTAGTCTACTTGTGTGCCAAGTTATATTGAAATCAGACTAAAAATTGTTTACAGACGGACGGACAGCTATACAGACGGACGGACGACGGACACCTTACTATCGCATGAGCTCTTCTGGTCTCTGGCCACTAGAGCTAAAAATGGCTCAAAATTTGTGTAAAAATGGCCTGAATAAAAAAAATGTGTTTCTCTAGTAAAGTTAGCTTTTTGAATTGTTTGAGTGCCTGGTTAGAAAACAGGCTACATGGCAATGAGTAAATTTTGGAGAGAGAGTATTGAATGAAATGTTACTTATTATCACACCATAAGATATGGTATAAAAATTGACTTGTAACGAAGAGTTTAGTCGGACAGGCCTTAAGGAGGAGCAGGACCTTGAGCTGGAAAAAACCCTGTCAATCAAGTAACGGATCTCGGATGCTGCCATAATGGGTAACGGACATTCTGACTGGGTCTCGTAATCCCCCTTCCCTCCCTTCTTTGGGAAATAAGGTTTTATTTCTCCTGTACGTTTTATTTGCAAGTTTAGACACTGCCTTTTGTTGAATCCCATTTCCAAAGCGAATGCAGAAAATTTAATCTTTACGTAATTAAATAAAACTCACTAACACATACATATTTATACAGGTAAACATATTTATTTGTAATTACAACACTGAACAGTATGGATGCTTTGAAGTTGGAAATTCCAACTTTAATCTAGGCTTTTCCAATTAACTTCAAAAATGGAAATTCCAACTTCAAAAATAGAAATTCCAACTTCAAAGTTGGAAATTCCAATTTTAATCTTGGCTTTTCCAACTTTAAAGTCGGTAATTCCAACTTTAATCATGGCTAGTAATTCCAACTTTAAACTTTAAAGTTGGAAAAGCTAACTTTAAAGTTGGAATTACCAACTTTACAAAAAAAAAAAAAAAAAAAAAAAAAAAATTAGGGGCACGAATACGCTTCCGTAGAACAGTATGGACGTGTGGAGGTGGAAACGAGGTGAAATGTATATTGCATTACATGTTTCAGTACCTGTAGATTTGATGGGTTGCTAAAATATGATGAAGATGCCAAAGTTCGAATCCGAACTGATATAGTTTTAAATTGTTTTAAAATTAGCTATATCCCTTTAAATCATATTTCCAACTTCCAAGCAGGGGAAAGGGGGGTGGGCATAGTTTTGCTAACAGAAGACTTAGATTAACTCTCCCCCTAAAATGTACACATAATTCGCCAAAAATATTCTATAAAGTTTCTGCTAAAATGTCCTTTAAGTCTTCCGCTAAAATACCCCTTAACATGTTCAGACGTCCATTTTCCCGCTAAGGGGGTGACGCATTGATTGCTGGCTCGATCGCAAAATGAGATTTTGTAAATAAATAATCTCTCTTTTTTCTTTTTTTTTTTTTTCTTTTTACCTTTTCCAGGGTAGAAAGAAAAAAAAATGATCTGTATCTGTTCATGTTTGAATTGAATATTGAATATTCTGTCCTGCGAGGGTAGGACCATTCGTTGCCCCCCCCCCAATTCAAATGATCGTCCCCCAAACATGCTAAAAAGTCCTGTCATCCGCTAAAATGTCCAACGTCGATATAACTCAAGCCCGTAGAGCGCGAGAGGGGGGACAGGGGGCGCCCCTTTTTTTCCGAGTATTTTTTTTTTTGCTATAGTAATTCTTTTTTGCATAATACACCCATATGGGTCAAGCAATACAATTCATAATTAAAAAAAAAAAAACAAAGAACAGTGAATGTATTTATACAATAGGCGCAATTTAAGTAATTTACTCCTTATATGTTACACCGATGTGGACCTTTTGTTTCTTAATTCTAATGATTGTTTTATAAAAGTGCAAACAGCCGGTATAACTTCAATTGTTGGACTAAGTATATATTCATGTTTCTGTATGAGTGACTTGAGATAGAATGAGGAACAATTATCTAACATGGTTTTTATAAGTATATTCCTTGCTTGTATATTCAAATTACATTGTAAAAAGAAATGAAATTCATCATCAATAGCATTACATGAAGTGCATAATCTTTGCTGTCGAGGTAGGTCGAACACAGGCAAATTCCAGGATTTGGACAGTAAATTAGTTCCCCCCCCCTTTTTTTTGGCTTGTCAGATAATGTTAGGAGCCCCCCACCCCACTTTTGGTCAGTGTAGTTTTTTTTTCGCTTGTCAGATTTTGGTGGGCGGGGGGGGGGGGGTTGCCCCCTTTTGAAACCGTTGCTACGGGCCTTTAACTAACACTTTGAATTTTTTTTCCCGATGTGGCTTACATGTACATATATTTTATAAAAATATGTTGTTTTTTTTGTGACATGTCACAGGACCCCATTTGAACATTTTACAAAAGAAGACTAAACGTAAATTTGGGAACTGATAACTTTCTAAATTTGAAAATGGTTTAACTCGTTTTAAAGGATTTTTTAAACGACATAAAATAGTTAGATATAATAAGTTAATATAAACAAGATTAGAAAATGTTTATAAACACACTTGAAAGTGTATGTTCGTTTCACAATCAAAGGGAAACAACTCCCGCCAAAAATCTTATTGAACTGTCATGTGCTCCTACGTCACGAGGCCAAAGGGCAGAGTGTAATGTGTACACCGAAGAAAAAAGATCGTCAATATACACATGGATTTGTAAATACACAAAAGTTTAGATATTTTCTGATTCCGGTGAACTAATGGAAGTCCTGGCGGACGACCAGGCTATGCGAGACGCCATAGGTAAGTTGAATGTCGTCCCTAGACAGAAACGTTAGAAACTCCGCTAAGTATCACTAGGTTTCCGGTAAAAAATGAGGGTTTAAGTTGACGAAGACGTTTTTATTTCGTGAAAAAAGTGTCAGAGATTGGTTGTTTACCCTCGACGTTGTATTGAAATGAGTGATTTTTATAAGGTTTACCATTAAGTAGAATGTGTATTTGTTGGCAGTATATATTTAAAGTCTTGTGTTACTTTTTGCAGTCAATAACGGTTACTGTACTGTCAAGCTCAGTGTGTCTCTAGTATGTGAAATGGGGTCAGTGGGTATTCACCGCCCCAAAGGCCTACTATTGGTTCCTCAGGTTTTCCTCATCACCAAGGACCAAGGAATTTCCGCTCTTTATTCTACATGTCTTGAAGAACAGTTTAATACACTTATTTGACAAACCACAGGGCACAGTTTTTGATTTAAAAAAATCAAGTTGACAAATCCTATTTCAGTAGATATTCTGGCACCATAAATTTACATGAGGGACACACACTACAAAATGCAATTATAGTTTTATAACTTGGTCAATATATGTACAATCTGCGTGTTATCTTCAGGTCAAAGATAATTTAATCAATGAGTCCCAAAGAAAGGTCCAAAGTGATGCTGTAAATGAAACAAATAAAAAAACTACTTTTTCTGAAAACTCGTGTTTGAATAATAATGATTTATTTTTTGAAAATCAACAGATGTACCATGTTTACAAGTTTTAATGATCAAATGTACTGCTGAAAAATTTATATTTTAATTTAAACCTTGAAATCAATTTAAGTGACTTTCATGATTAATGAATGTACATGTGCATCCAATCTTTGGAACCATAGTTTGATTGATTTACAACAATATAATATAGAATATTGTGTTACCAACATAGAATTAAGGAATTTGGAAGTGATTTGTATAGAATTGAAAAAAAAATGAAAATACAGTAATTTGTTTAGAACTTATGACACTGAAGCTGAAATGAAATAGCAGGTCTACAATATTTCTCCCTATTTCACCTGAGTGTATTTCTTTGAATAGAGTTCCTATTACTTTACACCTATTGAGGGTTTATAAAATTTTGTGTACCCACATTGTAGTATGCTAGCTGTCTTGATTGATTTAAAAATCTCAGTGGCTATCAATGGTGAATTATTGACTAGAAACCTGTTAATTATGATATTGGTTCTTGTTGTAGTATTGCTTCTGCTTAAATTTGCCTCAAAGAGTCTGAGAGATAAAAATTTAATGCCAGGTACGGGTGGCACACCTTATAATTATCTGATGCCTCTCTCTATCAAATGTTTTGGTCATGAATCACGATCAATTATTTTCCAGTAAATCAAAGAAGATTTCAGACCTAATTGTGCTTCATATTTTTCTCCAGTTTTCTTTTTTTAGAAAGCACATTAAAAGGATACGACCCACAGGCAAAGTACGTTTTGTTTCTCTTGTTAAAATCCATAGTGTCAACAAAAAGTTCCAAGTGTGAAAACATTGAAAAATTCTTTGTAGGACCCCTCAATTCAATCAATATGAGATCATAGAATTAAATTCCAAAACAGGATCAAATCTGATTTATGTAAGTTTAAATAATACAAATCAAACTTTTAAAAAGTCAAAAAATGAAAATATTTTGATCTGGGAATGACTGGGTAGGTAAGAGCATGGCATGTGTGGTCTACCCATAGAATAAAATAGAATAGAATAGAATATACTACCAGGGCCTAAATTGGCTAAACATAAAATACATATGATCACAGACAATGTACAGTGCTGATAGAGACTTCAGAGGTACTCTGGTGATAAAGTTTCAATTTGCTTCAAACTTACCAAGATAGATTATTTACATATGCAGACATGCAATATACCATATATGTTTACATTTGGTAGATGCTGAACATGGTATGTCTATTACACTCTATTAGACAATATAAAAGTACATGAAACAATTAAATGTTACAGTAACATCACCAATCCCTCACCAAAATCCTACCATTGATTTCCAAAGGACAGTCATGACAATATAGCTTACTGTTTGGTATATTACAATTTTATTTGTCAGTGTAAACTCATATTGTCAGTCTTTCATAGTAAAACTACTTATTACAATATTACTTTATATCTTTCTCTTTATCTATTGTATCATCAACCCATTGGTAACAATTTTCTCAGAAACTTGGCTTTGTTCTAATGTCAATGATTCTAACTAGGTTATGTTGTATGGCAGTTGTTTTTTTAGTCTGTGACGCTTAACTTCTCAGTTTTTTGGAAAGCGGTGACTTTCTATAATGAGAACTCGTTCCTTCCTCTTGGATGTGAGTCAGAGATGCTTCCTCTTCAGAATGTGTTTTGATTAAAGTTTTTTTGATGTCATTGGTCCTCAAAGAAAGGGGGAAAATACTCATGATATCTGCTGCTACACTCAACACTGAACAGATAATAGAAAATACAAAATCAAGTATGCAGTGATGAAAAAAATTGTATTTTCACTCATCAATATCCATTACTAAAAATGGGTAGATATTTAAAAATTTAAACATCATATTAATAATACTAATAAGATGAATAACCAGTGTCAATTAAAAAGAGATGAAAAGGAAATTAGATAACTTCCACCCTCAAACCCCCCACCCCACCCCCTTCTCCTCCCATATTTCTTGATAAGTTGGATGACTCAGGCCAAATAAAGATATATTTGCTTCCCATTTTATACGTGAAAAATTAATATCAATATCAGCCTTTATTTTTTTTTTATTTTTTAAATGTACTTACAGTCAAGACATTTAAATTGTCATAATCTGAATAAAGTACTCCAAAGAAATAAAAGTACACTAACAGTCAATTAGTTCATTTGGTTGGGGGGGGGGGTGGGTGGGGGGTGGGGTCACCATTAATACAGGCAGATTTAGCACAGTAAAGTTTTAAAATGATCAAAATATTAAAACCTATTTCATCATAATTTATCCACATTTTTTTTTAATCAAAAATCAATTTACTTCAATATTCAGTAAATTTTGCTTTAAAAATTAATTAATAGGGGTTCTTAATAATTAACATCAGTTAGTTAATTAATATAAGTTAGTGATCTGATTACAGGAAATGCTGTTAATTTTTTTTTTTTTGTCTAGTCCTTATGGAATAAACTTTATGCCAGGCTATATTGATTTTGAGAAATTATAAAAATTGCTTTTTTGCTTTTTATTAAAAGTTTGATTTTGTAAATGAATGTTATATTTAGTGTGAAGCATAGCAATATGATTTGAATACGAAAATTTTCGTAGGTGATAAAAATAAAATAATTTATTTAAAAGAAAAAAAAAATGCAGAGCCAAAAACTCCGTAACCACAATGTATTGAGTGAGATTGTTACAGACTGTCTTACGACTATCGAACTTATCAAACTTGGAATAATTCATCTTGTTACCTGTAGTTTTCAGAAAATAGTGTTAGTAATGATGTTAATTAAATCAGTTTATTTTCCAAATGTCATAAATCAGTGAGTGTTTTAAAGTAATAATCTGTGCCAGGTATATTGAGGTCAACCTTAACTATAAAGAAAATTTCTATCAAATTCTGAGCTTAATTGATTTGATCGTTTTGAGATTTTAGGGGCTGCTAGTCCCTGATACTGATGAAGAGGACACATTTTGAATGAAAATTGTTTTGGCCGCTATTTGAATCCTATTTTCAATTTTGTGAAGAATTATAATGTTCATCTTAAGTCTTTATAATGGTTTCAATATGACTGTATGTCTTTAATTGGTTTTCAATGGTAAATTTAGTATTTTTTTCCTGTGCGATAAAAACATTACATATATAGTGACATTATTTAAGATAGATCAGCTTTAATTAGATAATTAAGTAGTATGCTTTGATATGAGAGTATACTTACAACTCAGATTGTTTCAAGATCATTTATACTATTATAAATAGTTCCAAAACTCCTTAAAAAAGATACTTTCATGCTTATATTAAATATCAGAGCATTGACTCAGCTGACAAAAAAAATCAGCCAATTAAATCCTGCATGTAAATTGTTATAATTTGCGGATTTTCCAGTGTCACAGTAATAATAAGGAATAGTCTTCTCTTAATTTTCATTGGTGTCCTCTCTGAAAGCAAATATAATAGATGTCTAGAAGTAACTTCTTGTTTATGGTATTTTGTTTTTATAAGTTTTAAGTCTTCAACTTTGTCATTTGTGTTCAACGCGGGAGGGGGAAGCCCCCATCACACATCTGTCTGTGATATTTCTACACATTCTGAATGTAAAATTCAGTGAGTAATTCACAATCACTGTAAAAAAAAAATATCTTGAGACAGAAAAAGAACTTCAAGATAAATTTTCCTTCCTACTTGCTAGGAAGACAGTGATTAACTGAAGGAAATTTTGTTTGTTTTAAATAAATCAGAAGTCAGACACTCTGCATGCAGTTTCAAAAGCTTTACCAAGCAACTTCTTTGTGCTAATTATGACTTTTCCTTGTGGGGACATAACTCTCTAACTTAAAGATAGAGAGCAAACAATTAATGGAAATTCTTCAAAAAAACGTGACTGTTTTGACAGATAATGAATGCTAAACTGTTAATTGATCTGCAATTAATATTTTACTGATAAATTATGCCAGATTTCAAAATTGGAATTGAATCTCATAATAATGAAATGTTTTTTTATTTCACTATTGAAAATGTAGTAACTATTTTGGCTAAACTTTGTGATTCTTTTATTTTCAATAAAAAATAAATGTTTTCCATCTAATCAAATAGCCATAATGGATACATGAGTTTAACCTATTTATTATTTAAGAAAAAAAAATCAGTTCACTTATCAAACAAGATTAAGTTTCAGTTATAGAAATCATTTCAAGAGGAATAGGTTTGTACACACCAAAAATAGGCTAGACTAGGGGTGGAAATCTTGTTTCTTTTTCATCTTAGGGTCAACATCCATCACAAAGAGTCAGAGTGAGATAGTCTTGTCAAACT